AGTGTCGAAATGATGAAATGTGTATTTATATAAAAATTTTATATTTTAGTCTACATATTATTTTTGACAAATTTTAACTCTTTAAACAATAACATGATATTAATTACTAAAGATTACAAAAGTGTTTTAGTGTAAGTTTTTTTAATTTATTATTGAATTATTAAATAATAATAATCGTTCATTATTTCTACTAAATTATTGTATTTAAAGAAAGATACGAAATATTTTTTACCCACTACAGTAGTTATTTATAGAAAAGAAAAAAACAGTTTTTTAGTTTTCTATAAGTATTCTTATAGAGAGGTAGTTTTGTTTGAAGTATTATTATACATTAAGCGTAAACATTTCTTCTTACCGTGATTGGAACATTGATTTATTATGTCCCGAAAGATTAATCACTTTGACTAGTATTAATAAAGATACTTTAAAGCTGAAGTATAAACTTTTATTAGCAAATATCATCATTGTTTTGAATGTGGTATGCTAGGGAGCAGTGATATCAATGTTTATTTTTACATCAAAATGTTGAATTTCATTAAACATAACTCAGATTAGGATTAGAACAAAGAAGACCTTCTTCTATCTAAATACAATCAGGATTAGAACAAACTAGCTTAGTGTGTTTATTTACAAGTTGACATCAGTTTCAGACGTGGCAATAAGTTGAATGTGACTGAAATTTTTTCATGGATTCACATTAAATACGGATTTCTCACGCTTTTACAGACAAAGGAAAACCTATAGACAGAACAATGAGGGGAAGCATCCGAAACCCATTTTGTTAACTGTGTAGAAGGGCTATAGACAAAAAATGTTAAGAATTATATAGGAATAGGAGGATGTGGGATGGAGCGTTTGAAAACAAACAAGAAAACCCCCCAATAAACTATCCTTTTTTATATCTTCATTTATTTATATAATTTTTCTAATAGAGATAATTTTGACATTTCCAATATTATAATCACTCCATCTCACTACAACCTTTGTATGTATTAATTTATATTCAAAAATGTAAAAGTTCCTTCATGGATTACTATAACATTCCATTTATACATAGTTCGTTTGAATTTATAATAAAGAAATGAAGAGGGGGGAGATAAAGTAATGATTTTTACAATATATTTTAGAAGATAAATATATATATTTTTTTGTATAATAACCCACAAGAAAAACTATTCTCCAAACTGAAGTAAAAAAGAGAAAGAAGTATTTGGTAAGCGTTAAATAACATTAACCTAAAGATTAACTCGAGTTGATAGTTGTCATTTCTATTTTTAAAACATGAAATGTAACAATTAAATCTTAAAATCTAAAAAAACATGAATAAATTCAAAAACCAACACATAACTTACAAAAATTACAAAAAAAAATTTACATGTAATAATAAGAGAGCATTCTCTCCTTTGTCATTAATTCTTAATTTACAGTTTAACGAAACAAAGAGTTAATCACTTATACACTGCCGGTATAAAAAAAATTTACACTAACAACCAATTATATCTTTTAATTATGTTATGTCATTTACTTTTAACAGCAACATGACACAATTAAAAATATAATTGATTGTCAATGTAAATTTTATATTGAATAATTGACTCGAAAACTGAATTTGATTTTTGAAAACTACTTTCTTTCAAATCGAGTTTTCCAATATTTCCTCATCCAAATATTAATAGCAACTCCTTTTCATAACATGTTTTGAGTTTTAGTTGTCACGCCGAGAACCTGATTGTGATGGATAGTAATAATGTATAACAAATAGAAAGAACATTAAAATAATCTAATTTGCACAGTTCAAAAATTATAAACTACTTTCTCTTCCTTTCAAATTATTCTATTGAAAAAGAAAAATGACATGAGAAAATCTAGCAACCTATTTACCATTCCCTCGCTAAACTTCTGAACCAAACACGAGACAACTTCAATCAAACACTTCCGCTCGTTTATAATCCACTACTCCAAAACACAAAGATATTGATAATGTAAATCATTTCATTCAGATATTCAAACAGCCAACCGCTACAGATATTGAGCCAGTTTATTTAATTTTTTTAAAATAAACAAAGCTTTACTTAGATACAAATGCTTCAAAGAAAAAAAAAATTTTAAGCAGAAAACTAATTTTAAAAAACAATATAGAAAAATACATAAAAAATGCAAAAATGTTTTACATTTTTTTAGAAAGAAAATTTTAAACAGGCTCATTATGCAAGAGCTATGAAACTTAATGGTAGTTTTGTTGTTATTTTTTTTTTTTTGCTTTGTTGGACTGTTTCATTCCAAACAATATGCAGCCCATCAAAACAAAAAATAAGTGAAATCAAAATGCAAAAAAATCTTAAAAACTGCGAGAAGTGAAATCAAAGTAACTAATTTTATTAGGCACCATCAACCCCAAGAATCGCTTCTGGACAGGTTTCATGGATGAGTATCAAACAATCAACCTCAAATAACCCTTGGAGTACTGAACATAATTAAAAAAACCCGCTAATTTAAAAATAAACATATTAATAGGAATCCAACATAAGAAAGAGCCATAAGAAAATGGACAAATAATGCTGGAAGCTCTGCATTGAAAACAAAAGCTCCAGGCAAAGATCAACAGACAAAAGAAATCTTGGAACCCGCACAATTGTTTCCCATAAAAAATGAGCCAGAAAAACCTATTATGTTTCATAAAATGTCAAGAAAACAGCATAAACACCAAAACAAAAACCAATACTAGATGTCCAAGTCCACGTTGACAAAAAGCAGCCAACGACTCGAAATGTGCAGTATTCAAGCTTTCAAATGTGGACCATATGGAAGGCAGCACCCAAGGTGTTCATATTATTGTGCTATGATCACACCATGCCTTATAATCCATTCGACAACTACAATAAAAGGAGGGAAGGAAGGATAGCAAGATTCAAAAGTAAACGTACCCAAATCCCAAATAATGAATCTTACCAATAAAGTTGAGAAATACTACGCTCATGTTCTAGTATTCATACTCCCGGGAATGAGATCTCTCTGAGCGTCTATATTCACGGTCCATATCATGACTTCTTTCCTTTTCTCGTGATTCGGATGTTGCACGTCCAGTATGGTAGTCACCTTCTGTACGATCATGGTCAGGATACTGACCGTAATGGTCACCACGGTCATCTCCATGATTGTAGTGGTCATACTGCTCAGGGTCATGATCAGGGTCTGCATGCCTATGTCCATGGTTATACCAACCACGATCATCCTCAGGCTCATAGTCATGATTCCTTTCCTCATGTTGGTTCCTCTCATGTTTAGATTCAACACGATCATAATCAGTCTCCCTATCACGTGAGCGTCCTCGATCAGTGTCCCCAACTTCATAATCTCGGTCCCGATCACGGTCCCTCTCTCGCTCACGATCCCGTCCACGATCCCTATCTCGATCACGTCCACGGTCCCTATCCCGATCACGTCCCCGGTCTCTATCTCTTTCCCTGTCTCTGTCTCTATCCCTAGTCCTCTCTCGGTCTCTGTGGTGCCTATCCTCTCTATGATCACGACCCCTGACCCTTTCATGAGAATGTTCACGTGATCGCTCTCGTTCTTTATCTCTGTCCCTACCTCTTTCACGTGACATTTCCCTGTCCCTAAATTATCTCAGCCAAACAGTAGTCAAAGTAAATAACTTGCAAAATACATGAAAGAACGTTATTTCAAAGTCCTCAATTATACGGTCAGAAGTAAATGCAGGAAAACAGAAAAAATTCCTTAGCATGAAAGAATAATTTTATTTATATGGCCAACTATCGAGCTGATGAGACCAGACAAAATTGAAGCAGAAACATATCTTATTTCTTACCTATCACCATGTCGATCATCCCTCGCTCTTGGTTCTTCAGAACGAGGCTGTTGTTGCTCCCTGAAAAATGAAATCAAGTCATAATTTCCCTTCAACAGAAAAACAAACAAAGCACACAAGTTATCTACAATGCAAATGACATTCAACAAAAGCAACTAAGGGGATTAATTGCCAATCTAGGGTGATGAGCAATAAAAGGTCAATAGAGTTATTTGATAAATAACAGGATCATCAGTAAATGAAAATTAAAATATAGCAATTAGACCAATCACCTCCCAGAGTGTCGCTGATTAACTTCATCACCCCCAATTCTAGTAGTACCAAGCCCACCACCTAGGCGGCGAGGTCTCCAATTTGGAACAGTCCTCCCACGCTCAACATCCACGAGCACCCTTCTACCATCAATTTTCCTACCATCAGCTTGTTTATAAGCAGCTGCAAAATGAACCAAGCATGTGAATTAAAAGACATGGTAATAATAAACAAATTAATTAATCGCTGTCAACCTTTCATGTCTCTTGTATGCAGATACTCAATGAAAGCATAACCCCTGGGCTTATTTGTCTCTTTGTCAGCAACTAATCGGACCTAAATCATAAGAAAATTGAAAAAAGAAAGCTTAGTCAGAATAGAAAATCCTGGTCTCCAGCTGCAAAGAAAATATAATAAACAACACTCCCTCACTTCAGAATAACAGTACTGCCATAAAAAAGGACTATGCTATATTCTTAAATGGCACGGCAGAAAGGCACTATGCCTAATTAGCCGTGCTCACCTTTAAATCACAAAGCTCCCATCGTGAGATGCATCACCACCAGCAATAGTTGCAGAAAAACTGATGTATTTGGGGCCAATTAACCAGTTGTTGACTAGTTCCCCTTACCAGGGATATTTTTTTAAAATTAAAAAAAAAAAAAAAAAACAACTATAGGTAATATAGAAAATACCAAGACATCTTCTCAATTGCTGATTTGTTTTTGATAGATATCCTAGCCTTTAGAACCAAGAATGAAATTTAGCAACATCAAAAACATGCTAGCTAAGAAATTAAACACAAGAGGAAGAGAATGCAATACTCCCAATGTATTTTACCCAGTGTAGAAAAGAACATAAGGGGTCAGTCTCCTTTTCTTGCTTGAAAACAAAGGCCAAAGGCACGATGTTCATCACTGCTCTGCTCAACTAAATATTCAGCTAACCCGCAGATAGAAGCACTTGAACTTGAGTCCAGATTGATTGAAATTTTAGAATAATTACCATTTGCAGAATAAGCAGACCACACCCTTACCAAGAATGTATTCTTATTTCTTAGATGCTAGACCTAGCACTACATAATTCCTAGAGAGTCCAAGCCCTCAGAAGATCTCTCACTCCACAAAAATTAACAGAGGAACTAAGTGGAAGCTAATAAAAGAAACCAATACATAAAAGATCCAATATGTGGAAATTGGTAGCAGCACTAAATGCAGTTGTTACCATTGCAAGGTCACTCACCGTCACTGACGATAAATTTTAATCAGGAAGATGTGCAACGTATATCAAAATCTTTGGACAGAACAAGATTAAAAACTACAAGATTGATTAACTTCATGACAAGCTATACGGTCCAACAATCAAATTAGTAATGATAACCAACTGATTTAGAACTGCCAAAGTACATTGCACAAAATCATATTCTCCAGATAATCATAGTATGAAGTGTAATTAGCTGGTTAACAGCAAAGATGAACATCAATATGGATATTCATGTACAATTTTTTTTTAATGAAAAATAGCTTGCATTGTGTGGTTCATGATACATAGATATGCATGTACAAGTATGGTAAATCATAGCATCTGAGAATTCTGAACAGAAGATACAAGAAACTAAGAACCTAATAATATGAATGAAACTCTTACCAAACCCACTTGGGGATATTCAAAAATACCTACCCTTTTGATTGGACCATATGACTCAAACTCCCTTTTGATTCTGCTCTCAGTGGTCTCGTAACTCTGTTAGAAGATAGCACCAATAAGTTATGTAGCTATATGCTACAAAAATGCCCCCACTAATACAACATTTGGAAATACAACTTACGAGTTTAGCCACAAACAATGTCTTATATGGATCTCCAGATGCATTTGGGTCATTATGTGGATCATCTGCATTGCATCAGATATAAGAATGGCAACCAGAGAACATAAATTGAGAAATATTAGCAAATGCACAATAATATAAAAATCATCACATTTCTCAAGCTCCTCTGCAGCCTTAGCAGCTCCCTTTTCTAGTCTTAGCTTGTGTATTCTGGCTCTTTTTTGTGCCTACATTCATCAAAATGGATCAAAACCATAACAACCCTTGTACTCAAACTTTTTTCATTTGGCAGGGTTAGGAAGAAGGGAACCAACTTCTAAAACCAAGCAACAGCTACTCTAAAATGATATGAGAAATGCTAGCAACACACTCTAAGAAACCCTCTATTACTACTGAAATTTGTTGGAAATCCCCAAATTGTGCAGATCTCACACCTTATCTAATAACCCCCACTTATGATTTTGTAGTTTTCAATATATATTTTAATCAATATAAAAGTGTGCTGGAAGAAATGTGTTAGAAAGTGTGTTGCTAGCACTTCTCAAATGATACTTCAACGGCTGACCACAGAAGACAGGAATTTACCACACTAAAAAGATCACGAAAGCAAGGAATAAAAACATTTTGTCTGTAAAATCATCGTGCAACTAAAACCTAAACTGTACATCATTCGCAACAAATGGATCAAACACTATGGACTCTAACATATGACAATATCAATTCCATATTCTTATCTGATACAAACTAATCATCATAGTTACTTCTCATCTCAACAAACTTTCAGCGAATCAGATAGACAAATCACGGACGCCAAGCCATTCAGAAGAAAGCTCAAACTTCACACTCCATCTCTCACTCGGTTTCAGAGTAGAAGCAAAGCTTTGCAATATAATCAACAGAATCAGAAAACACTCGCATCAATCAAATAAAACAAATACACAAAAAACATAGCTATTAGCGACAAATATGAGCTGAATTTTACAGGAGTTTCAGTTTCTGGAACAGGTGGAGCATATTCTGGATCGCCAGGCTCGGCAAACTTGCCCACAAATTGCGCCATCCCTTGAAAAGAGAAAGAAAACACATGAATCAATCGGAGCACATAACAGAACAAACGCAAAATGCGAAACCTAACGGAGGCATTGAAAAACCTGTTAACGGCGGACATTTCCGTTTCTCCGGCGGTGGCTTGTACTCCAACGGAGGCCGAGGCTCGAAGAGCTTCAACAGGTTTGCCGTGAGACCAGTCGGGTGACTCTGTCCAATCTGCATCGCCGATAATAACAAAAGTAAATCGGTGCGCACAAAACCCTAGCTATTCTCGAAAAGCCTAAATTACTATCCAGAAAGGGGGGGGAAAAACTAGATGTGATTGGAATGGAAGAGAAAGCGAAGGGATGAGGGAATTGAAAATGGACCAGTTTGAGCTGAAGGACGTTGGAACGGTTCTGGGCCTTGGTGCGGGCCTGAACGGCGGCGTTTTGGTTGCGCATGAAGGCATCGTTGTTGTTGTTGAAATCCGCCATGCGGAAATCAGTGTGAGAAAGAAGAAGAAATTGACGAGATCCGAATTGTGCCCCCTTCGATGAAGAAGATGGATGATTGCTACAATCGTTAGCGGGATCTTACCTCTCACTTCCTCACTGCCACCGCCAGATTCCCTATTTATATCACTCATTATATTTAGGTTAAATCGCTATGATGCTAACTTATCTTACGAGTTTCGATTACTTTTTTAATTATTCTTTTTTTTTTTTATATCATTCATGCATCACAATTTAATCCGAGATGTGGGAATTTATCCAAACCTGTCCCAATTTTTATTGATAAAATTGAGAAGGAATATGTATGTGTTTAATAATATAATTAAAAAATTATTTTTATATATAAATTAAAATTAAAAATCTTTCTTTATATATATGTATAATTTTATATTATTTTATTTTGTTTTTTTTTTCATATTTATTAGAAACAAAAGTGTCTAAGAAAGGAGATGGAATAGAAAAATCCAAAATTCTTCAAAGACAGAAATGAGTATCTAGATTTTACTTCTAACAAGTATTAAGAACGAGAGTGAGGACGATTTAAATCTGTAAAAACGAGACAGAGAACATAAAACTTGTCTTGTCTTACCTCATTGTCATGCCTACTTTCGATATAGAATCACAATAATTTTTCATTTCATTTTATATTTATTTTTAAATTTTCTAATCATATCACTTATTATATATATACATATAATATAAATAATAGTGTATTAATTATTATAATAGTAATTATATTATTAATCACATTATTTAGATTAAATATTTATTTAAATATAATGATTTTTGTGGAAGATCTTTATTCTATTTTAAATAAGTGTATTAAAAAATATTTATCTTTACACATGTAAGGTTGAGAGTAAGAAGAAAAAATTTGTAATCAAATAAAGATTTTTGTTTTTCTTTGCTTCTTTTACGACTTGGATGCATCATAAAAGGTTAGAGGTTTGTGTTTTTTTCATATTTAAAATTTTAAAATATCTCAAATGTTTAAATTTTATTGGGTGGCTTAAAATTTTTTTAAGTTATATGGCATGTATCCATATACAAGACTGTACCCATTTTTTTTTCTTTTTAAGTGTGCAATGATTATTAAAATGGGTCCCACACTTGTTTAAGTTTAACAATTTTATTCGGTCACGTTTCTGTTTTTGTGGATCAAAATTGTTTATGGTTTAAGAGTGAACTATACACACCCTGTAGTTTAATGAATCTCTCGCTCAGTTTTATTAAAAGGTATCCATGGTCAATATTTTGTCGCGTCAATTGTAAACAAAATATAGGGAGAAATGGCTATGGGAATGAATTTTTTCCTTCATGATCTTGTCAAAGTATGCCAGAAGCAATTACTGTATTATACTTAGAGTCAGTGACAAATTCAAGATTTTAAGTTGGTGAGAACAAATTTTTAAAAAAAAATAATAATTCATAATCTTCTCATATATATATATATAAAGAATAAAATATAAATGTCAAAATAATCATTAGTGAATTCAATGTATAAAATCAAGAGATGCAAAATATAATATTTTTAAATATATATTAATAATTTAATTAAAATAAGGGTGCGTTTATTCATCTTCATGTCTGTCCTTATTTAGAGAGTACGTGGTTTGACTTTTAAGCCTTATATTTCAATGGCGCACAATGGAATGAACACAATAGAAAATTTTTGAAAAGTGACATTTTTATAATTAAAAGGAACAAATTAAAGATTCATATATATATATATATATGGTGAATTTGATGATTGGTTTACATCAAAATTAGCTAGAGAAAACATGCACTACACATTCTCCTTTTGATAAGTTTCTGTAGTTACATTACTTCTATTGTTTTTGCTGAAAACCATCTCCATCTCTTCTAAGGCTCTACCTTTTGTTTCAGGTAAGAAAAAGTAGAAGAACATCCAAGCTAATATAGATATACAAGCAAACATGATAAATGTCCCACCAATAGTGATTGTTTTATATATTGAAATAAAACTCATGGAAATAGTAGCATTTGTGAGTCTATTCACTGCAACTCCAATACTTGCTCCTTGTGCTCTCAACTTTAAAGGAAAAATCTCTGAGCTATACACCCATGTGACAGGTCCAAGCCCAATATTGAAAAATGCAACAAAGAAGTAAGTGGCCACTATGCTAAGGGCCAATGCCCATAAGAGCTCCTCATGGTATGTATCCACCATGGTCAAGCTGAATCCTAATACTGCAAGACTACAAATCATTCCTCCGGTGCTTACAAGTAAGAGGCGCCTTCTCCCAACTTTGTCCAAAAGAAAAGAAGCAATTATCAAGCAAAAGACTTTTGTAACGCCCACTCCAATGGTTGTCAACAAGAGCTTATCCTTACTAGTAACACCAACTTTCTTAAATATTCTTGGACTATACAACATAACAGCTTCTATTCCAGTTGCATGTTCAAAAAAGTGAATCCCTACAACTGCAATCAACATCCAACGAACAACATAAGTGGGCCTTATAATCAACTCTTTCCAAACCCCTCCACCATTGTTCTTTTCAGGGAATTTAACCATTTCTTTAGCGTCATTCTCATCAATCCCAATAGCAATTTTTATATCATGGAATCGAAACTCAGCTTCTTGTTCTGTATCTGAAATTTGTAATAAAACATTCCTAGCCTTTTCTAAATGGCCTTGCATCACCAACCACCTTGGAGACTCTGGCATTGCCAAAATGCCAAAAGCCAAAGCAAGTGAAGGGACTGCTGCAATACCAAGCATTAATCTCCATCCAAGCTTCAAACTTAATTTTCCTAGGAAGAAGTTTATCACGTACCCAAGTAAAATTCCAATACCAATAAAAAGTTCGGGTAGGGAAGATAGGAAGCCTCGAGATTTAGCAGAGGAGATTTCTGCAGAATAAATAGGTGCTATCAAAAGAGCAAAACCCACACCAATACCCGCAACACACCTTCCAACCATTAGGATTGTTTAATTTGGACCATATCCCATGAGAACTGACCCAACCATGAAAAGGATAGAGGCTAAGGTGACTGTATAGCGTCGACCAATGTAATCAGCAATTCTTCCTGCAATTAAAGATCCTATCAATGCACAAATATTTAAGATGCCTGCTAGAACTTCTTGTTGTGTGTCGCTGATTTGAAGCTCCTCTTTTATGAATATCAAGGCTCCGCTCATGACACCGGTATCTAAAAGTCAAGTTGATGTATAATTAATTCTTTTGCATGACATGTATTGATATGAAATAATATATGCTAAATTCTATCACTAACTATGTTTTTTTATAATTTCTTTTACAAATTATGTGACACGTGGAAAAAGGAAAAATAAAGTATTTGATAATATAGATAACAAAAAATACTAGTAGGTAGAAATATCGTTAACACTTAGTTAGCTAAATGTGTGTCAATGAGGTCTTTACACTAATGCCTAATAATGTCAACATTGTTACCGCTATATATGCCAAAATTAAAGGAAATGATAAAATTAAGTGTTCTCATTGAGGGAAACATATGTGTGCATGCCCATAATACCAAGAGTTGCACAGATAACAAAATGAATAAAATTGGAAAAATATAGGAGAATGACAAAAGAAAGAGTAGAACAAATGAAATGAGTGAAAGGGAATTGAATTAATATACCATATCCAAATATAATGGATATCATGGAAGTGATTATCGCACATGCCATAGCATATGTAGCTGCTTCATGATGTATGGATGAACTTCTCTTCCTTTAATGAGTAATAAATAATAAATGTATTCCTTTATTCTCACTTCTTAGTAAATATTATTCTGGAGAGTTTTTCAAAGATGTTTAGTATCCTCAACGATCACCTAAAGAAATAATGGATACAAAAGTTAGGATTGAATTTTCAAGAGAAAGTGGCGAGGTTTATGTAAGGAATCTCAAGGCTATGATATTACGTGTTGGAGTCATCAATATGGTTGCTCCCTGCTAATTAAGGTTAGGAAATAAACGCATAGGTTGGATGCAGGTCATGGACAAATACTCTATTTTTGATGTATCGGTGTACAAGATGTTGAGTTGAATGATGAATAATTAACAATTGAGGGTGAAACATTTTGCTATCCGTTATTCTGTTTGCTAACACTTGTTGTGTTTGTTGGTTAAGTATTAGTTATTTAGGATAAGGATTCAATGTCAATGTTATTTGATATAATTATCCATCTAAATCTTTATCCCCAATTAGCCTCTGCTTCATAGCTACTCACCAGGAACCATCAACCTTTTAACACCAACCGAGTTTGATCATAAGAAATTAAATATTGTTAGTTTATTCATCATCATTATCAATCATTCTAATTAATCCAAAAAAAACTCCTATTACAAATGTTAACATATAATGAATTCAATAACTCCTAGACAAATAGGTTGTGTTCATATTATTACCTATGTAACTTGCATGTATTAAAAAAATGATCAAAGATGTAATAAATTACTACAATAATTTACTTTTTTAACAATTTTTTTATTAAAAAAATTAAAATGTTGTATGAATTTATTTAAATATTTAAGTAACTAATATTTTTGTCTTTATAAATACACAAGATAAATATTTATTTATATATAATTATTTTTTTAACAAAATGATATTTCTCAATATATAAATTTTATTATATAGTTCATGTATAATAACAACTTAATGTATGTTTGATTTGATTGTATATATTATGAGTTAAAACTGCGTGTTTTAAATTTTAATTATACTAGTATTTTAGTTAGTGTATTACATAAAATAAATGTTTGTTTTATATTATTATAATTATTTTTGGGTAACAACATGAGCATCAAGGAGTCAATAGGAAAAACTATATGGTTATAATTTAATAATAAATAAATAATTTTAAATATATAAATTATATTATAATTAAATTTCATTATAAATAAATATTTTTTAATATATAAATTATATTTTAAATTTATAATAAACAACTTATATTATAATACAAAGGTATTTTTAATTATTGATATTTTTTTAAAATATTGAAATTCATTATAAAACTAAAACAAAAAAATAAATTAAAAGATAAGAGAGGTTGAGAAAAAAAATCATAAAAATACTCTCATTGAAGAATATCAACTAAAAGCACTCTCATCAAAATAATAATTTCTAAAAACATTAATGTATAAAAAAAAATTCTAATTTATATATTGAAAAAAAATATTTTTTAATCTTTACCAATAAAAACCTTAATAATGTTTCGCTCAATATTATAAAATTTGGAATGATGATTAATTTGTTAAGATACTAACTCAATAATTACTGGTGAGACCAATAATAAATTAAACAAAATAAATTAGTGTAAGTTTATATATATAAAGAAGATCAAATTGATTTGAGTAATTTAAAAGAGTTTATTTTAAATATGAGTGAATTTATTTCATTCCATAGCATGTATATGCTTTAAATTATTTTAAATTAGGGTCCTTAAATTATACCAATTAACTCATACTTCTAATATATATTATGTTATCTTTATTTGATATTTGTCTTTTAGATTGAATGAATATTACCTTATATTAGTAAAAAAAATCCGTTACGAAAAGAGAAAGTTAAATCATATATACCTTTATAATATATAAAAAAAAATTATACCATTTTTATTTTAACTCATTCTTAAATTATTATGTTTAGGACTCATCTTCATCTGCACCGTCAAAGGAGCTGAAATGAAAATACTTAGATGAAGAATCAAAGTCTGAAATTAGATTATGTATCGTAAAATATGTACTGTAAATTTTATCGTATTTGTGTTCCTATGTTGCTTGTAATATCCTTAATTTGAACTCAATTTGTCATGTTATTTTGTAATTTGTAAGTTTTTGCATTAATTTTGCTCGGTTCTTATTAAACTTTCATCTTTTAAAGAAATGTTTATTTTACAATTTATCGGAAAAACAATTGTAAATAATACCGATCCATGCATATTCACGAATTACTTAGTAGGTTACAAATTAAAATTTGAAATATCATAAAAAAGGTTTAGATCTACCACATATTGTCTCATCAAATGGTTCCTCTTAGTTATAAATTAGTTCTTACATTTAATTTAAAAATAATATAAATTCTTCAAGTGTTAAAGCACTAAAAAATCTACGATATGCTGAGAGCTATCTAATAAGTTTGTATCTTCTTGAACACGTTTATTCCTTCATTCTTTTTCCCACCTTTTCAAAATGTTGCATAGGAACTTGTTTGATGTCTTTTACAATTTTTTTTTAAAGTATGTCAACATAAAAGGCCGTAAATCTCAAACTTCTTATAATTACATGAAATTGACGTATCAGAAGGATTTAACAAGACTTTATACTCCTCCTCTATTTATCAATTTAACAATACATTCAAACATTACTCGACTTTTGGCATATAACACCTGCTCATTTCTCTTTCAATTTTTAAACACTTTTCAGCCATGTATTCTCAAAAGCTTTATGGTATGTTTGGATAAGGAATTTATATAGAGTAATTCATTTATTTGAAGAATTTCAATTTTTTTGAGGTGAAATGTTTTGTTTGGATGAGAAATTTACAAAGAATTTGAAATTCAAGTATTTGTGAAATTCTTTAAAATAGTAGAATTTCAAATTCTCCAAAAAATGGGAGAATTTGAAATTCCTCATATTTGTTTTTCTTATTTCACCTATATAATTTATGTTATCTTTTCATTCTTTTAATTATTAGATAATCAAAAATACTTTTAAAATTATTAAATATTATCTTATATTAACTTTTAAAATTATTAAATATTTAAAAATAGATTAATATTTATTTTTAAAAATCTCAACATATAAATATATTTTTAAAATCAATTTTACTATGATAGAATCAAATTATCATATTTAACCTAACAATTTAAAACTTAAGAAATTTGAATTGACTCATCCAAACAAAATATTTTAAGAATGATAGAAATTAAAATCAAAGTAATTCAAATACCAAGAATTTAAAATTCCTTGAATTTGTAAAATTTCTCATCCAAACACACTATTATACTTTTGAACCTAGGCATTCCATGCTACCTCAAAATGTTTTTCATCATGAAATTCATTTATGCCTTAAAATCTCGTAAGATACGTACTAGACCCATTCTTCATCATATTTTTAAGATGTTTTATATCATTTTGCATCAAATGTCATGTGAATAATCCATGATGAGTTTTTTGTGCGCTTCCAAGAAGGTTTTAATTAACCATTTAAATGATTCAACAATATCATCATATATAGAAGAACAACTCCAAAAATCACTACTCTTTTGTAATGATACATTAGTTTTTTCTTCACAAAATAATAATGAAAATGTTTTAAAAAATAACACGCATGATGTTTTATACAATCGAAATAATAATTAAAAATAATGTCTTTCACTTATTTTATTTTTAAGTTTTCAAATATAGTTTATAAAAATAATTTATACGAATCTTGTGAAAATTCTTACTTTAAATTCTTGTGAGTGTAATAAATTTTTCTTTAAGGGAAAAGAAAGGAAATTCAGCAAGTAAAATAGAACTTCATTTTCAAAAGTTACTTATGGTATATGTAGAAAAAGAATGAGACTATATATAACTTTAGTCTTTAGAACATTTTAGTCGTGATTAACATGAACATGTGTATGTTAATCATAAGTTAAACCTTCTACAAATTTAAGTTATCAACACTTTCAATTATGATAATGTCCCTTATGTTGTAGGAAAAACACAATCAAAGTTTAATAATGACTATTCCAATCCTAAATTTAAAACTATTAAAAAGTTGTCGTAGTTAAATGAAATTCAATTAAAGGTGATTTTAATAAATAAAAAATTCCATGTTAGAAAGTCACTTCGAAGTGATCTGTGTCATGTTAATACAAAGCAAATTAATGATGTTAATAAAAAATAAATAACACAAACTAAAAAAATGTTATATATAGAAACTAAAAAGATATTTTAAACTATAAGGACTAAAAAATAAATTACAAAGATTAAAAAAAAGTAAATAAAATTATAGGAACTAAAAAAGAAGTAAATGAAACTATAAAAATTAAAAAAATATGTAAACAAAATCCATATCACCTAAAAATGTTATGTCAAAGTGATTTTTATAATGTTTTCACAACACAAATGACATTAATAAAACTAGAAAATGACTAATAGAAAAAATAAAATTATTTATAAAGACTTAAAAATAGACATTTTAAGCTATATGACTTAAAATAAAAATTAAATGAAATTACATCAAGAAGGTATTTAAACTTAAACAAATTATTGTATATGCATCACGTTTTTACGAAGAAAAAAAGGAGAGAATTAAGGGAAACAAGACACATGTCACAACTAAATAGATAATACTTTTATATATTTTAATTAAATTTTGTCATTATATGATATTCCCTTTGAACTCATATATATGTAAAAAAAAATAATTAAATTTTTTGAATTTAAATATAAACAAATTTTAATTAATTTGATCATATTTAATGCTATCATTTTAAAAATACCTCTTATATTAAATGTGATTACTATTTTCAATAAATATTATTATGGATAGTTTAGGAAGTAAAATTTAATTTTTATATGAAAGCAATAAAATTAAATAAACTTAACTAATTTTCTTAATATATATGAATTATGTATTTTTTCTTATATATGAATTCGAGAGAATAATATATATATATAT